CCCCCGCGCGGCGCGCCCCGGCGGGCTGGAGGCACCGACGCTCGACTTCCCAGCGTTGGTTTCCCCTCTGCTTTCAGAACTGGAACTGAACACCAAGTGCGTGGTGGAGATGGAAGGGAATCAAACGGTCCTGCACCCTCCTCCTTCTAATACCAAACAGGGAGAAAGGTAAAGCGGGTACAGGGAGGGCTGGGAGCAGGATCCTTGCCGCGGTCGCCCATAAGTTTGAGCCAGGAAAATGGGAGCGTTCTCTCCTATTGTTAGGAGGAAGGCTTCAAGTTTGTCGCACGCTCCTGTCTGAAGCTGTTGCAAGTCCAAGTTCTCCTCCCTCTGACCCTCCCCCCGGCCCCCCCTCTTGAGGGCGACAGCGGGAGAGGCACCCTGGCCAGAGCCAGCTCCAGACCCGGGCTGGCTTCGAGGCAACCAGAGAATAAAGGCGGGGGGTCGTGCAGGGGGCGCTGATGGGAACCTAGACATGATTAATCCAAAGACCACATTTTATGGATAAGAAAACTGAGGTCAGAAAGGAGGCAAGAGAACTCCCCATGGCCTGGGACCCAGGGCTCACTGCCCTGACAGCATCCTTGGGCAAGATTGTTGGACTCTGCGTGTAAAATGGAAGGAAACCCCCCACAACCAAGCAAAACAATCTTGATGCAGGCCCAGGCCTGAGCCTTTTAAAATCTATTTCTTTTTTTCTGTTTTTGTCGGTGCTGGGTGGAGATAATGCCTGAATGTAATGCGCGTATTTTGATTTTCAAGGAAACAAAAGTAGTGCTCTGAGCTGTGTAGACAGACACTGGGGGACATTTAAAAGGGGACTGCATTTACTAGATGGCAACATATTTGCATTTGAAAAGTGGTAACTGTTGGATCCTTATTAATTCTGCTCTATTCCACGCAGCAGTATGGGAAAATGCCCTAAAATAATTAGAATATTTGGCATTTTTTCTGGTAAGCCCCCCGAGAAGAAAAGGTTGGAATTCAGAATTCATTCAGGATAGCAATGCAGTCGCTTGTACAAACAAACAAGAAAAAACCGGAGATTTGACAGAATTCATTCCTTTTGGACATAAGCATGAGTTGTGTTTGTAAACTTCACCTGTTGATTGATGTACTACAATTTGATGGTTATTGCTCTTTAGAGATTTTCACTGAAGAGATACTCTGGAAGGTTTGTGATGTTATGGCTAATGGAAGCAACTGCCTTCATTCTGTAATATTGTGGTGTTTTACACATCGGTTTGCTAAATTTGGGGGAAGGAGTTATAAATTTGGGCAGCCTTTGCTTTTTGTGTTAAGGGTAGAGATTTTAAGCCAGTGAGCTAACATGGTGCTACTTACAGCAGATTGTTATGGTGACAATAAATGGCTGTTATAGTTAAGTTGTCCTGTTAAATACTTTTCAGTAGTGAAGGTATGGCTAAAAGTAATTATTTTATTTTATAAATACACTTTTTACATTATTCTTCGTTTTTTACATTTTTTTTTAATCTCAGTTGTAACCCCCATGGACTTCCCACCACCATTACTATAGCAAATTAGTTGTATATTTCATGGTTATAGAAGTAAAGTCTTTGCTTAAATGAAAATATATACAGATACCTATACCACCAGCATTTTTTCTGAAACTATTTTTTTTACATTGTTACAGAAAAATAAGTCTGTTGAGTCAGTTTCTTCAAAGTGAGGGAAGCAGGTAGAATAGTGTAACTTCTCTTATGTAGCTGAAGTGAGGGAAGCAGGTAGAATAGTGTAACTTCACTTATGTAGCTGAAGTGAGGGAAGCAGGTAGAATAGTGTAACTTCTTTTATGTAGCTGTTTTCTTGCCATAAGGAGTGCTACTGTTAGCTACTATTTAATGCAGTGAAGCTTTGTCATTTGTGAGAGAAACAGATTTAATTTTGTAGAACTTGGATGGAAATAATAACTGTGGACAGTTGGTAAGACATTATAAATAATCCATTGATCATTTTTAGGGCTGCCACAATTACCAATCACGGATCTCTTAAGTAAACATTTACAGGGTAGTTGGGGGCTTATCTAGTGGTTTGCTTCTTAGAATAGCCCCTCACCTGGAGCTATCAAGAGAGCATTGAAATTTAGGTGTTCTCTTGTTAAGTTCTGGTGCCAGATGTGACCCTTGGGTCTCTTATGGGATTCTGTCTGGATACCTTTCATTCTCTTTACAGACAAACTGAGGAGGTGACTTCCCCATGCTACTTGTTGATTAGGATTACTGTAACTACAAGGATGGAGACACCAGTTGTATTTTATTCTTCATTAGGCAGCATGGTTTCCTATTTCTCCACCAGATTTTCCCCTTAAAACTGCAGTTGCATTTAAATATAGAAACAGTACCTCCCTGGGAGTCTGAGTTGATTAATTGCAACAATTCTTCATGTTGTGTTTGCAGGTTATTTCTATCATTTGTTTCAGGCTAGAGCTCAGGGCAAAGTGAGAATGCTATTTTTCTTACTTAGAAATTCAGGGTTTGAGGTGTAAGCAATTAATATTGGCAAGCCTGTGTCAGTCTGAGAATTCTGAATATTCCACGAAATTATAAATGTGTTAGCCAGGAGTAGAAATTCTAAGTTACTGAGTGAAAGTTTTCAGTCCTACTAGTAAAAGTCAGCAGGAGTGCATTGATTGCCAGGAAAAGAAACAGATGGGCTTCTATTTCATAGTTTTACCCCTTTTTTGGACACAAAGCCAGGACTCTATGATACTGATGTTATGATCATAGGTTTTTGTGAGGTTAATACAGAAATTCAGGCATTATGATATGCCGCAGAGTTCAGCTTAATGTGCTGGTTTGTGTTCAGAAACATGAAAACATATATAAATTTGTTTCTTTCTTAAAAGTCATGGCACTATGTGGAGACATTTGTGAAGTTCAGATCATGCGGTGGCACGCTCAGATAGGGGTTCCAAAGATAACACAGATCCAGTGTCTGTGTGAGGGACTCTCCTCTTTGAGAGAGGGAAATCAGGGTTAAAATGCATAATGTACAGAGTGGTGGTGTGCACTCTAGTTTTGCCTTCACATAAACCCTATTATTTGGAAATTACATGTTTCTTCTTCTGCCTCCTCCTTGAGACTCTTGAGTTCCCTGGGGGCAGGTACCATCTCTTGATTACCTTTGTCTCATGCCCTTGCACAGCACCAGATCATAGTGAGTGTCTGCACTGAGTTGGTCTGCAGTGTGTGGGTAACCATGGAGGAGGGACCCAGGGTCTTAGCAACCTAGAGAAACAGGTGGTTTTGTGCTGATCCTGTGAGTATGGAAGACGTAGATTCACGTTTTTAAGATTGGGTGAAAGTCTTTTGTTAAAGTGAACATACCTGCCACAAATTAATTCTGGGACACTGTATGCATGGAGTAGGATGTTGAAGCAGGGGATTCAGCAGGTAGAAGTAGAATCAGAGTTCCTAATTTGTCAAAATGGGAATTCAGTAAAAAAAAAATCAAAGTATAGGATCCCCCTGGGGGGTGCAGGGGTTTACATAAAACACTGTGAAGCTCTCCGCAGCCACTACAGCATGAGTTCAATCCTGGCCAGGGAGGTGACCCACATGGTGCAGCAGACCTCCCCTGTCTTGTCTGCTGCTCCCCTCAGCAGTGTATTTCAGTCAGTCAGCCTGTTCTGCTCCCCACTCTGTCTTTGGTGAATCTGCTCACCCCCTGCGTCTCTGGTCTTTGCCCCAATTCTTGTATGCATAAATAAATAAATCATTACAAAAAAAGTATCAGCAGATTAGCAATGAAGAGTCTTGCTCTCCCCACTACTATCATCCTCTGCTCTTCCCATTCCCTCACCGCCCCAAAAGAAAGGAAATTACAGGGCCCTCCCTGGTGGCACAGTGGATTAATGCACAGCACTAAGAAGCTTAAGCCACTTCCGCAAGAGTTCGATTCCTGCCTGCCCCGGGATGACCACATGACGTGGCAGACCTCTCCTGGCCTGCCCGCTGCTCCCCTCAGCAGTGTACTTTGTTGATCTGCCTGTTCTGCTCCCCAATCTGTCTCTGGTGAATCCGCTCACCCTCTGCATCTCTGGCCTGTACCCCAGTTCTGTATGAATAAATAAATCTTAAAAAAAAAAGAAAGGAAATTACAGTCATTAATATTTCTTCACACGTTTTCAAGTGCACAAACACACAGGTTTATATAGGTCTCAACAATTATCTTTCCTAGCTTAAAGGCCAGTATACTAATATGTGTTCATTCATTTTTACATCCAGTGTGGTTGGAAATGGTGATTTAAAAACTATAGATGGGGGCCTTATCCATCTCATCTTCCTAAGTTTTAGGAAGTAAATAATTGCCATAAAACGTATACAGATTTCTCCTTCCTCACCGTTCCAAAGTAGACGATTGGTAGGTTATTTGTTATATCTGATAACACCATTATCATTAATTTATATGAAAAAAGTCTTGAGTGCTCGCAGATACAATAAATAACCCACCTAATTATACCAAATACAAATGTTCCATGTTAAGATGGAAAGAACTGAGAATGGGACTTGCTTCCCACATACATTTTTGTTCTTATTATTTTAGGTAGGTAAATTGCAGCATCCAGAAGCAATGTACACATATAAGTTAGCTGAGCTAAAAGAAAAACTGGGCTGAATTGTGGGCTCTTAGTAAAGAGCATCCAAGTTTAACTTCTTGCCCAATTTTCCATATTGTAGGTGGGTGGTATAGTCTTGTGAAGAATATGAGGGAGGGCAGTGGAAGAAAGTTATTCCTTGGGCCGTCCCTGGTGGCAGGGGGTTAAAGCACAGCACTCACTGTGAAGCTGTCTGTAGCCACTGCAGCACAAGGTTGATCCCCGGCCAGGGAGCTGACCCACATGGCATGGCAGACCTCTCCTGACCTTCCTGCTGCTCCCCTCAGCAGTGTATTTCAGTAGATCTGCCTGTTTTGTTCCCCAATCTGTCTCTGGGAATCCTCTCACTCCCCATACCTCTGGCCTGCATCTCAGTTGTAAATAAGTAAATGAATCTAAAAAAAGAAAATATTTCTTGGTCAGTTTCATGTGTATATTTTTTAAGATTTATTTATTATTTATTTATGCATACTAGACCTGGAGTATAGGGCAGAGGTGTGGGGAGTGAGAGAATTCATTAGAGAGCTGGGGAGCAGAACAGACAGATTGA